GCGCAAGTCACCGTCCCTGCTCCCACCTGCTGTGGGGCACACGGTGGACATCGTCGAAATCGACGGTCGAACTGTCGAATACTCCTGTAAAGTAGAACAACCCCTGCATAAGTTTCTCTGCGTCCGGGCAAGATTATTTCGAAAGTGAATGCTTATCATGTCGTTGACTTTTCTGAAAACAGAAAGGAAAGACCTAAAGAAGCCCAGCACGTAACCTCCTTGACTAGGGCACTGAAAAGGTGATTTTTCAGAAAGTTTGTCGGATAATAAAATGAGAATATTTTCACGCATTCATTTGCCTTTCTCTCCAACAAGTCGACAATTTGCCAATAAGTTCCACCAAGTCAAGTATCAGTACAATTTGGTCTAAAAAAATATTCCTTGCCGGAAAATATCAATATTCAGACAGACAAGTAGTCTTTGAAGAGGTAATCGCTCATTAAATTAGCTTATAATTCATCTTGTTAGACTGCAGGCCCCTATATTTTTTGTAGCGTCTGTGGTCCCTTCCACAGTCCTGTTCTCGGGTCTGAAAATTTAAAGGAATGTCTCCTCTTACTTGCAAAAACCTTCCTATGATTGACGGAGGGGCTGAAAAGTGCACATCAGTTTGTCATAAATAATTAACTTTGCAGCCCTTAGGCTGTTTAGGAAATGGCACTGTCACGTCCCGTGTGCATCCATGAAGAGCACTGCCGAGTTCATTTTTGAATTGACTGTTCAGGGCGTAGCAGTTCCCTGAACCAAAAAAGTAGATTCCTGTAATTTTACAAAACACGCGACACAAGCACGGCAGTGGGAGCCCAGGTCGGTCGGAAGCTCAACTAAGTACTCCAGCCAACCTGTTATTTTCTGTGGGATTCTGCATTCCGATTCAGCCCACGGTCGTGCTTGTTATCGCGAATTATCAGTACCACAGAAATACGCTTAATTAGTTGGACGCTCATCCTAGGTCAGAACTCAGGGAGACGAGGCTGGGAGAGGACAGTCTGTATTTTGTACAGACGGGACTGGTCTGTTGGTCAGTAGAGCGGTCTGCCTGCCTCTCCGAGCGCCCCTGCTCTAACCCCCGCGGCGTCAACTACGAGGACCGCCTCCTACCACCGATGACAAACATCTCCTTGTTCCGCCGTCTTCAGTCACCGCCACCTTCATCATTCCTCTCACAACATCCGCGGCGACCACCACCGAACAAAGCTCTCCCGACGGCCCGTCAGCCACCACTCTCACCATTACCACCGCCCCCATCTCCATCGATATGGACTAAGTCCTAACCTGTTCTGACTGCGATTGCACATCCACCCCACGCATCGTTCTGTCCAGTCACTTGCGGATTCGTCACACTGCGACCGACGCAGCAGTACCAGGAGCTCCCATATACACTCGCCGCATCTGCCTTCAATTTCCACACTGTTCACGCACATTCATCCACTGCCTGTGCCTATTCTGTCTCATACGCCCTCATAAAAACGTGCGGCAAATCACAGGGGACATCATCACGCACCAGCCATACACACCGCAAACACCCCACATCACCGACATCCCTAATGTGAGTGGGAAGTGCGCTTTTCGGCTGCGTTCTCTGTGGGGCTTCCCTGCTGAACGTGAGGTCGGAGCGGTCTACCCCCTTGCGTATGAAATCCAGTTATGGTCGTGTGGGTGGCGCGCGTGGACGGGCTGGTCTCAGCCATCTTTCCCTATCCCAACATCAGTAGGTTGACCGGTTAGGACAGCCGACCAGTGCGCGGGATAGGGTACAGTGAGTGAAGTCGATGCTCAGTGTATACTTCCTCACTACAATCTGACGCACTTGAAAGTAACACGATACGCCAAAAACCCCGAATGGGAAGGCTACCAACTGACGCTTCAACTCAGACCACACAGTCATCCCACTTGTGTGTTTGTGAGTTGAGTGGCTAACTGGTGGACTGAGAGTCAGATTGTGATGACTCCTCCAAATGACACTTTCCCACACATGTGAGATCCGGGCCGCTTTTCCCTTGTATAGATAATCCTGATGTACGCGTTTATGATGTCAGGTTGTACATTTGGCTCGCGCAGACTGGCTCTCTAGCTCTGTCAGCCACTTTCAACCTCAGAAATCTGGCCAGCTCGGAAAGTGGACTGATTCCTGGGCGCGGGAAGAGAGAAGGAGGTCAACTATTTCAGCGTATCTTCCTCACGACAAATCATTCGACGCGCCTGAAGCTATCACGGCCCGCCAAAAGCCGTAGCTTAAAATGTTGTCAACTGACGCGATAACTCGAACCTCGCAGTCAGCCCAGTGTGTGTTTACGTGGAGTGGCTGACTGGTGGACTGAGAATTAGGTTGGGATGACTCCTTCTTAATGCGGCCTCTATGTCATTCCCCCATAGTTGCGATCCGAGTCACCTCCCCTTTTTGCTATTGCATGAAATCCTGGTCGGCGTAGGTCGTGAAGCAGGGGATATGGTGGTAAGTCTAGGTGTGGGTTTTCGGCGTGCCGGCCTCCTACGCCATAACTGTGTCTTGATACCGGATCCAAAGAGGAGGAGGTTGGTGGAGAAGGGAGTGCGTTAGATGTTGCGTTCGTCTATTGTCACTTGAGACTAACTCACATGCAAATCACCGTCCCTATCCACACACTGCTGTGGACATCGTGGACAACGACAATCGAACTGTCAGAGCGGTTTGCATAGACCTTCAGCGGCTACGCATGCCGGCTAGGCGGACGCAGCAGTTGAAGGCAGCGATTGGACGGTTGCGGACGCTTGAGGTGAGAGCAGCGACGTTAGTGGCGATCAATAATTTCCTGTGCGATGATTGGTCCAAACTAAAGTTGATTGATCTGGTGAAGTATTCAGGCTGTATGCATGGTTGCTCAGTGACTTATGTCATCGTCCTGTTTTCTCATCCACTTTTACCGGTGGTCAAAATCCCAGTTAAATGTTTGTCATGGACCAGGGGGCGTGGGGATAAGCCTAGGTGATGGTCCGGCCGTGCCGGTCATCTAAGCCATCTTCCGCCCTCGGTCTTCTTGACTATGTTTTGATACCCGGTTCAGGCGGGGAGGGGAGAGGGAGGAGGAGAGTGCGGTAGATTAAACGCACGTCCATTATCGCTATAAACGAAATCACGCACAAGTCGCCGTCCCTACTTCCAACTTGCTGTGGAGCACACGGTGGACATCGTTGGAAACGACGGTCGAGTTTTCGCGTGTCGTTTGCGTGGGGACTTCATTCCACAAATACCGCGACCTTATATGTCCACTACAGTCATCAGTTGCTGTCACTGACAGTGTAGATTCCTCTTCATCTAATTCGCTTACGGAGTTTATGGTGCTAACACTGGACACTAGAAGTAAACAAACCGTTCTGGACTGGATGACCCATGAAGATGGACTGTTTTTCGAGCATCAAAAGTGTAGCAGTAATTCCTGGCTTGCGGAACCGCTTTATGTTGTTTACATAAATCAGGAACTGATTGAAAGGTGTTGATTATTGGGACAATTGTTAAGCATAAAGGCTTTAAGGGAGCTGAGATGAACAACTTACCCAATATATACTATGCTAGTAAAGTGCTTGAATAAAATAACATATTTCAAAAACTGACCCAGCGGTTGGTTGGACTCGGGGCTATAGCGCAAGTAAAATCGATCATACTGTTCTTGCATACTTGTGAGGCACACATTTACTTAGATTTTCTCGAAAAAAATTAACTGGAATCTCTTTTGGAATGCGACGTCCTTGACATAGGCAGTACTCATGGCAATCATAATAACTTTTATGACATTATATCGAAAATGACCGAAGGGACCCCGCTGTAAAGAATTTCCACAATGATTGGGCACAAATTGGCATTGTAGCAAACCTACACCGGGATCCTTATTCAACACCGAGTCCCTGGCGCTTTCTAACACGTCCGTAAAGACGGCAGTCTGGTTTTCAGCCAATTACAACTACCCAAACCGGCCAATCGGCTTCAGGACCGATGGATGCATTCCCCGATCAAGGCCTCCTGATATCTGGCCCGGTGACGCTCCACAGCCTGACTCGGCGATGTCGGACGTGCGCATCTCGATCGGTTTTCAACATACTGCAACTTCTTCCCCATTCATTTTGTACAGAATACAATGTTCTCCATATTGACGGCTAATATCTCCTCTTTCTACTCGATACTGAGTACCTAGGGTTTGTTCGTGTCTTAAGCCGCCGTGACGAGCTTATGTAGGCGATTTGGAACACACAGTGGGCTGCTCTGCAGCTTGAGTCACAGGACGCGTCTAACGGGCTGCGCTGGGTCCCCGCAAGCCCATAATTACCGCCGTCTATGCCGGTGCATACTTTCATGTCGCGTCAGCCACAGCGTCCAATACCAGCATCAGATGGCTGACCGCCTCGGACAGCGGGAAGAGGGGGATCGATTTTGGGGTCTCTATCCCACAGACAATCGAGTGCGTCCGAATCTACCAGAACGCACTAAAAGTCGAGGCCTGGAAGGCCGTCAAAGGACGAGATAACGCCGTCCTTCTCAGAACTGCGAGTCTCAGACTGCGGCGATTCCGTGGCCTCCACGGCATTCCCATCCAGGCGGGGCCTGAGGCACTCCTGACGTTTTCTTTTGTGAAAATCGGGTCCATCATGCGAGCAGACGGGCTGCTCGGTTTTGTCGGCCACTGCACGCAAGCCGCCTCCAGACTGAGGTGGGACAGGGTGCGCCAGATACGGCGCAAGGCCGTTATCACCATAAACTAGTTCCCGTGTAAACCCCCATCCTGATGTGGGGTACATGGTGCGAATCGTCGTTTGCGACAGTCGAACCGAAGCTAGAGAGCAGCTGTCTGTAGGAGAAAAAAATCGAGTAAAAATCCTGTACGTAAAGCAGACTTTCAATCAAAAACAGTGAGAAGAGAACATTTGATGCAGAAACCACCCGGAGAATGCTGGGGGGACCTGCTGAAGAGCCGAAGCTCTCGCAGCTGTGTCATGCGGCGGCAGCGAGACGCTTGTCTGGGTTAGTTTCTATGCTGTCACTAAGGTAAGCCACACAATAATTGCTCCACCCAATAATCTGACGCATGCCATTTGGGTTGACCAGAGAAGTTTTAAGATGCATTCATTTGAGACTATAAACAGCCTTGGAACTGCCTGACAATATGTCCACGAGGAATTCCAAAAAGTAGGAATTCAATCGAAAATTCTAAAAAACGGAAGCACGTAAAAATGAACCAATAATACTTCCTCCAGTCTCCAAGGTTCCTCTTGGGTAAATGTCTTTTTGGGAAAAGTCGTCCAACTCAAAGCGGTCCGCAGATTAAAGACAGGTGGAGTTCGTTCTGGGCATTACAACCAGTCCGACTTGTGGCGATAGTGACCAGTTGGAAATGTAGCTCTATTGCGACCAAACGTAATGATTATAAAACACCTTCAATCTCTGTGGCTGACAGTACAGTAGGATTATCTTAACCGTCCACGGTAAGGTCTACTTGGTCGTATGTGGATCAAAGCATTTACTGCCGAGACGAACTTTTTACCGGTTCCCTTATAAAAATCCTTTTTTTCTTCGTGCACCCGACAAGTCAAGACAGGGCCAGGAAGACCGGAAGTGGGCTAGAGCACAGTGACACACACGCCTGTCCGCACACGATGGTTTCCACACAAACAAGCGGGGGGGGGGGGCGGCTCAGGCCAGATTAAAGTGAGAGAGTCATAAAGGCCACATTAAGAAGGAGCCGGACTCTGCGGCCTGACAATGGGAGTGAGTTATCCCGTCATTTGGCAGTTCACCAAGCCACGACCTATAGCACGTCGTGATAGTCTAAAAGGACGTCAGTTTTATTATAGTGATGAGTATGCGCTGAATGCCGTGGGGTCTACCGCTCACTCTCCTCCCTCTCCCAGGCATGAGTTCGCTTTCCGAGCCAGCCAACCAGTCATCCGATACAGGAGTTGGGGGCAGTGGCTGACAGAATTAGACAGCCCGCCTGCGCGTGCTACAAACATGACCCGAGCCCCCCCCCCTCCCCCCATCGAGATTTCAAAGGTTGTAGGCGGCTCGGATTTCACATGCGTGAGAGTGCCGTAAAGGTAGGGTTAAGGAGGAGCTATTGTGCCCGACAGTCAGTCCGCCAGTCGACCACTCCACAAAACACACACAGGGCTAACCGCGATGCTGGAGTTGTGCCATCAGTTGGCGGCTTCCCAACGTAAAGGGCCTCCTGGCGATTTGAAGTGTGTCAGATTTATTATTAGTGAGAGATACATTGAAGTGCCGTAGTGATGGATTCTCCGAAGTCGGCCTCACGCTCCCTTCTCCCGTGTGCCAGCTGATCGTCCAAGACAGTCAACTGACTGGTGTTGAAATCAGGCGCAGGGGGCTGAAAGAGCAAAAACCACCCGTCTACGTGTGTCACAAACGACCTGGTCCCCTGAAGGACACCAGGACTTCACACAAAGGGGCGTGATGGTCATATCTCACATGTGTTAAAGTATCATGAAGGCCACGCACCTCTCTCTCTCCCACACCGACTAAGTCCACCATGTGCTCAACAGCAGGATGGAGCAGGCACGGTAACCTGCGCGGGAATTAGTTTATAGTGATATTGGACTTGCGCAGCATCTTCCGAACTCTCTTCCCCATTCCCACCCTGGACCCGGTGTCAAGACAGTCAAGAAGATCGAAGGCGGGAAGGGCGCAGGTGGATTGCGCGGCCGGAGCCGCACCTAGGCGCTCCATTCCCAATCCCATGGTCCACAACGTACACTAACCCGAGTTTTACATAACAAGAAATGAGGGAAGGCGGCACGGATCTGAATTCGAACGGCGTGAGCCTTCTGTTGGGCCTTATGAGACATCCCCGACGTCGGCATTTGTTATGGGTGCTCATTTCCGACAGCGCTTGGCGGACTCCGATCTAGCCCTCGCACTGGTCCATCGCACCCATCACTTGGCCCGTTTGAGGGGCATTTTCCATCTCCCTCAAACTGTTTCAGGCATGACTTGAGACCATCATCACTCGGCGGTCAGTGGTCACTTCTGTCCTACCCTGTTAATCGGGGTTTGGTTTGACAATTTTGGCGCCTTGAAAACACTCACTAGCCGAGCCGCTATAGATTTGCACTCGCCGCTAAAAACCACTGATTACATCGTCCCGTAACCTTAAACAACACGCAATCCTCGAACCCTCCTCACAGGCTCAACATTTCCCAGGATCCCAATTGAACATAGTGTTGGCTTTTGGCCCAGTAACAACGCTACAGCCCTCCCCCACGGTCAGCGCACACAAATAAACAGGGTTGGTTTCATCAGCGAGGATGGTTTAAGGCAGGCGAACACAGACAGGGAGGGAGCAGACTGGTGAGTGCTAACGGCCTCCTCACTCCAGCCAGGGTATGGGCTTAGACTCGGTGCTGACCTTTAGATTGCAGACTTGTGTACCTAGCTCGAACCCCGAAAGAAAGGTCTGCCACCAACTCCGAATCTTTTTGCAGACTATTAGCCTCTCGAGGGCTTACATCCAGATCAGATCGAGTAAAAGCTTTCAATACCCCTACTCATAGGAGGGGAAAAGTTGCTTTTAGTGCTTGCGGACATAGATCCTTGCATGTACACACACGGAAGAAGAGGGAGGACGGCCACTTGTAAGGAGCTCAGTTGAAAAACTAGTCAAGACTCCTAACTAGTAAACGTTGTGGCGTTCGCTAATGTGAATTCTATGGACAGTAGTCAACGGTGGCACGAGCCTTCACTTGTGGGTCCCCAGCGTTTAAAAAAGTGGACCGTATTGTTTGTCTTGTCCAGAAACAAAAATGCTTTGCAAGTGCCAAGCCCGCGACCTTGCTCCCTACATGTCGAGAGCTAGGTTTATAGTAGGACAACTAAATTAAAACACTTGAAAAGTCAAGTTGGCAAACACGTGTTTTCGGTAATTCTTCGTCAGGCCAGTGCAGTTACATGAAGGAATGAAAATGTACAAAATCAAGTGTCTTAAGGGCTATTAAGTCATTAAAACAGTCAAGTTATAGTCTTGGTAGTTATAAGTAGCTGGCAGACGCTGGGAGTGTCGCTTGGAGTTACTGAGGCAACAGTATAGAGAAGGACCCCACTTAACTGTCAGCGGACTGTAGATCGTGCCATACATGATTTATGGTAAAGGGAATTTTATGGGTGAGGAAGCACGCTAGATAGTAAGCTGACAAAACGAAAGCAAACATGGAAATTGCTCGGATTTATGCCAGAAGTCTTATCCTACTTTATCGTATGACAACAGAAATGCGTGTGGTAATTAAGTGAATAAAAAGTTAATTTCACAAAACAACGGATCTTAAATTAAGGTGTGGGGTCCTGGGGAGCATTTGTTGTTGGCACTGCAGTTTCTGCAACAGCCTCATCAGAAATTAATGTGAATCTGGTATGAATTCTCCAGTGAAAATCTCACTAGATCCGGTTCGACGGTTGGCACATATACCTGGGCGGGAATTCATCAGTTTCAACGAGCTAACCGCGTTATGTCCACACCTTGCCAACCGGCAGTCTGCAGTACGCAACTGTTGCATGAGATCTTAGTTACTATCCGTGCACCTAGTTGGTGAATCACACAAATCCTGGCTAGCACTTATGCTGGAAGTGTAGTGGAGCCAGTCATTTAGACTTACGTGGGGGATGGACACTCACCGATCGCGTTACGAGTCATACCCCTCCCGTTTTGCCGTCGGGCCCAGTCTAGCCCAACAGCGACAGGTAGTATGCGCGGAGTCAAGACCGAGAGAAACAATGGAGACGGGGGTGGCCATTTCGGGCTTGTCCAACCGCATTATCCGAGGCTGCGTGCGAATGAAGGCCTCGCTCTCGCCTGCGGCGACCAACAAGTGCAGAACGCTGTTTGAGGAGTCTAGTGCAGGGTTCTTGGCAAGCGGTTAACTGTCCACGCCTCTCAGCTGCTGCCACCAATGCTACGACCTACAAACACCAGTGCTGTCGCCACTGTGTACTACTAGTACGACTGCTACTACTACTACTACTACTACTACTGACACCACTAATACTACTACTGTCACTACTGCCGCCACTACTAACACTACTGCTGTCACTATTATTGATACTGCCATTACTACTACTGCCGCTACCGCCCCCGCCACTACTACTACTACAACTACTACTACTACAACAACAACTACTACTACTACTACTACTACTACTGCTACTACTACTACTACTACTACTACTACTACTACTACTACTACTACTACTACTACTACTACTACTACTACTACTACTACTACTAATACTACTACTACTGCTACTGCTACCACCGTCACCGCCGCCGCCGCCACCACTACTGCTGCTGCTACCGATGGCATTTGTGGGTGTCTAAGAGGCAGACAACCTGTTTCTCAGTCAAGGGACGCGGCGAAGACCCAGGCACAGTATACCATATGAATCCCTCACGATTATCAAACACGTAAGAGTCGAGGGGAGAAAGTGGCTTGACTTAAAATCGAAATAATGATAAGGTTAAACAGAATCATCTCGAGGTTATAAGTGGGCGCGAAAATGTTTCAGGTGAGGACAGCAAGACGGATAGGAGAAATAAGCAGACAGATAAATCTAAGCAGAGTAGGGAGAACGGGAAATAAGAGTTGGATACGGAGGAAAGGATATGAATGCAAGTATTTAGGGAATAGTCAGTCTGCCAGCTGATCCTTCGGTTGTATGACCTCAACTTCAGCCCCCAGCGTCTCAAAATCGCCCAAATCAGCGTGTCCGACTTTTTCGAAAGCTGCATCAACCG